CTTGTGTTTCCTGTGATTTAATCACTTTGTTATGGACGTGCAGTTGGATTTTTTAGATTACATTCAACACAGGTCAGGACGATATTTGCATTCCTTGCTCATGTGGCCAACCTTCAAGCATCCAAAACACATTCCTTTTCCTCTCAGGAATTCAATTTTCTCCCTTGAACATCTGAATAAAGGATGTAATTCTTCACAATAAAGACAGGATTCTGAGGACAATTCCGTAGATGCTTTGGGCTGCTTTGGCATCTTGTGGACTGTGGGCTTAATAGTTACAGTATGGTTGGTAGCTGCAATGGTTGTTGCAAAGCTGCTTCCTTTGCTGTTACTTCTAGGTAGCAGTTTGCTCCTACTTACAGCCTTTATTAATCTGCTTGGTCGTGCATCTGATATATCACCAACAAGTGGATGAGACAGGATCTTAACTAGATTCTCCAGAAAGTTTACCATATCTGGGAATGTAGCCCTGTTGCCTCGTCGTTCTTGTATCTCACAGGCTTTAGACTGCCATCTTTCCCGCAACTTGTATGGCCACTTCATAACAATATGCCTCATGGATGGAATATTCATCTCCTCCATGTATTGTATTTCTGTCATAGCGTTGCAGCAACCTCTTAGAAATAATGCAAATTCCTGCAGCGCTGCTTTAATAACAGACCATCCAAATGCTTTATCCATACATGCTGTTGCAATTCTGTGTTCATTGCCAAAATGATCTTTCAAAAGACATTTTGCCCCTTTGATATCCTTGCTCTGGTGTCATATGTAAGGAGCTTTGCACCAGCTCTCTGGGCTGCCCCCTGGTGTATTGTTCCAAGAAATATAAACAGTCTTGATAATTGCTGGTTCTCTCCTCAATACAATGCTCAAAAGTCCTAATAAAGGAAATGCACTGCAATGGATCACCATCAAATACAGTTATGTTTCTTTGTGGTAAAGTAGATGACATGTCTGAAATGGTCCAGTACGTGGGGTTTGCTTGTGAGGTTACATGATGTGTACTTGCGTATTCACTTTTGGATTCCCATTGTGTGTAGATAAAACCTGTGACACCTTTGAGCCTTGATCTGAAGTTGGGTTGCTCCCTTTGGGCACAAACTCATTTGCATTTGGATTGAATTCAAGTCTTTGCTCCTTAAGTCCTTTGCTGACATAGGAATTCATTCCATTTGAATGGGCTTTTCCCCCAATATCACTGCCTTCCAGCACAGACAGTCTTGCAGCAGCAGCAGCTATTTGTGTATCAAGCTCCAGTTGCTCCTTTATTTTCCTCATCTTGTTTCTTTCTTGTCTGAGTTTCTCCTCCTGTGCCTCTAATTCATGTCTCCTTTGCAAGTGCTTTCTCTGCCTTTGCTTTTACACGTGCAGATGAAATACTAGAAGCAGATGACATATAGACTTCTTCTGCTTGACCTTTGACTAGACAGACTGTCTTCAGGATTAATATCATCTTGATTTGATTCAGCATTTTTGTCTTCATCATCATGATCATTTACATTTTCACCATGATCATCATTTAAAATTCCATTTTCCTTCAACAATGTTACATACATCATTGCCAGCCTTTTTTGAATGAAATCATGCTTCCTGCTTTCTCTGCTCCTCCTCAGGTAGAGGTAATTCAGTGAGCAATGTGTTATGAAGTTCGGAGGAACTCTGGCAAAGCCTTTGAACTTTTTTATATTTTGTTGCACAACAGAGACATTTTCCTTAGAAGACAAGAGAGGTGATTTTTTTTTCAATTTGCTTTCCTGTCGGAAATTGCCACTCCTTTCCTTTTGAAGTCTTTCGATTATGATTGAGATTCCTTTCAGAGTAGGTTTTATTGTTCTTTTTTCACTGACATCACATTGCATTTCTGTGGACTCAGTATCAACAGTAACATGGTGCATATCATTCATTTTCCACAAATCTGTATTGTTATTTTAAGAGAAGATGTTTGCGCTATATTGAGGGCTTGTGCACAACTTGTGCGCTTTCAACTTGTCCAAACAACACATTCGTAGACACATGAGCGATAATCTCTTCCTTTCTGTTTTCATGAGTCAATTGACAGTCAGTACAGCTGATAAGGCCTTTAATGCAACACACCATAATCCTCAAAGCGGCCCACTGCCGCATACACAAGGCATCACCGCTTCCAACAGGCGATCACACATCAATACAGGTGTATGCACTCACTGGGGATGTCCTTTGATTTATGTTAATCGGTATCAGCGATCGTTACTTTGCATCGCTGCAGGCTTAAGTGTGTGTGCTCCAAGTGATGTCTGCTGTCCAGGTGAGATCAGGGTTTTTACCTAATGTGGTGACTATCCTGACCTGATTTTAGCCACCCAGCTGGGTGTGGGAGAAGACCTTGGTCTAACACGCTTCCAAGAATGGAGGTCCAGACAATGTTTACTGTTAGATTAAGTTCTCATTTATTAAAGAGTTCGGTTAACTGTATTTTCTATTGCTAAAGATATAGAATTGAATCCTGTGTCTTGCGTGTAAGCGGTAAAAACCGTGCGATCTCCCCGTCACCCATGCCTGATTAACTGGTCTGTTGCACCTCTAGCGTTAACACCATAATTTAGAATTTGCTCTCGTTGAAATGGGGCACCAGTCCTCTGGTAGCACAACAATATAACTTCATTGATAAATTTATCAATCTCATATCAGAAGACATGACTTCTTGATTCAATGGATCTCCAGTCTCTACGCCAAAAGAATACAACAGGACAACAACTGGGTGTAAATAAAGGAGTTTATTAACCAAACTACTATCTACAGAGTAAATGCAAGGTGTAATAATCATAAAGATGAAAATAATAATGAAATGAGCAGTGTGATGAGTTGGCAATAGTGGGAGAGAATATGTTATGGCTATACACTATGGCTGTACAGCTAATGATCACTACGTCTACGAATGAGATTTGGTAATTAAATATTACTATATTTCGACATCAACCCAGTCATGAGCAGAATGTTAAGACCGGTTTACTGTGAGGTGCGCTGTAGCTGAAGACCCTTGGCTGGAACCCAGGTGGCTATCGTTGCCGTGGTAACCCTGGAGACACGGGATCTAGGTGGATTCTCCTGGAGGCCGTGTCCAGTTATCACGGTGACAGATTCTGACAGCGGTTCAGCTCTGGTGGAGTTTGCCAGGAGACTCTCTGTCTCGGGCACTCTTGATTTCTGCTCGGCTTCTCTGCAGGTGGTCGTGCAGATGTTATCTGCCGGCATCTCTTGCGGGTTGATGCGAAATAAACTCTAAGGCACTTCACTTTGGCTGGATAACCTTAGAGGAGACTGGCATTGACCAGATGACTCTAAACTGTCAAAAATCTTCAAAAAGGAAAACTTGATAATAATTAAAAGTTACAAAATTACTCTGAGGCACTTCTGTTGTTTTGGTTCAGTTGGTCTCGACTTGGCTTATAAAAATAAACACGTGGCAAAGAAAGAATAAAGGACGCGGACAAAATGATTAAGTGCAAAAATGGCTAAGAGCCATGAGTTTGTGGCTAGCAGCTTAGAGCTAAGAGCCGGGCTGTTGGAGCCTGGACTACAGCGCTAACAGAGCTGTTGGTAAGAGCAATGTGCGAATTGATCATGACTGTTTTATCCCCTGGGGGCTGGCGCACATTTCAGGGGCGTCACCCATCTTCTCCTGTGTTTCAACTTGGAGAAGAGAGTAATTTTTCACGGAACTTTTGAATAGTTTAATTCTACTGCTTACCTATAAACTCGCACATCTGTCTTCCACCATGACGATAAAACATTAAATGAAATAACATATAAACCAAATTGCACTAATAATTACAGACAGGAGTAATACAAGTGTGGATTTCATATTACATCCTTCAAACCTGGAATCAATCATAATACAAGTGGTTAACTGATCAAGCAACAATATAAACATTTCCTAACGCTAATAGTCTATAAATGTGGATTACACAGCAGTTCTGTAATGATGTCATGTAGTGTGTGTTACCTTGTGTGAAGGATGCTGACAGTATGGTCACATGAAGGACATTGGTTTAAAGTCTACATGTTACATTTCAAACATTCTATAGGATAGAAGTTTGGGATTGAACTATTACATAGAAACATCTCAAGATATTTAATTATACATTCTTCCTCAGATCTGTGTCTGTGAAGAGAGTTCTGCTGGTCACTACCCAGGATTGGAATGTGGGTTGTAGTTTATGACTCTTATCTAGAGAGGGACAGAGGAAGGGAGGTTGGTGTGTGTGTATGTGTGTGTGTGTGTGTGTGTTCATACATGGCACAGAGAGGCCAGGATTCACACCTTAGTGATAATCAGTCCTTTTGGTGTTACTTGTCCTTTGTAAGAAACAATCAAATATCATTAGACAGAGTCTTATTGTTACAAACTGGAGATTTTGCCTATGTTCTCCGGTTGCCTGGTGTCCATTGGTTGATCCTCTGGAGTTGACCCTTTGACCCTTGGTCTGATTCTGTGTCTCTCAGACATGCTAAAAGCATGGACTGTTTGTGAGAGAAAGGTCCTTTGTCTCTGTCTCCTATCAATTTGATAGTTTGATGTTGGGAAGAGTAACAAAGTGTCAATTGTGGGTCCATAACTCTGCATGTCCTTACAATGAACTTCTTTAATGGCTTGTGACTGATGCCAGGCCAGGTATGTACAGTATGTTTGTGTCTTCATGTTCCCCTGTGCTTTTTTTCTTTTAAAAGAATTTATCTTTTCACATTTTGATTAATTTTATTTTCACCTGTTGTACTAATATCATTCATATTCTGGTTTTTATGTGCTGTTGTATAACCCAAATTACTGAACATTTCCTTTAATCAATAAAATGATGAAAAAAATTAAATTAAATAAAAAAAACATGTAAAATTATTGTGTTGAGTGTATTACAATGCTGTACCGCTGATCTGTAATATGCAGAGTGAACGGCAGGTGGCAGCAGCACAGGAGTGAAATGGTTTTGACTGTACCAGAAGAAGAAGAAGAAGAAAAAGAAGGCGAAGAAGAAGAAGAGAGAGGAGGGGGAAGGTTTCGTCATTGTTTTGCTGGTTTTGCTGCAGAACAGCACGAATTGATCTGACAGAGCTCTGATAGTGTGTTTAACAAGGTAGGTTCAAGAGACTGACAAAATATTAATGTTAAACAACCTCGAACATTTTGTCTGTGTTGTATCCATCTGATTATCCCTGTAGCTCCGATAAACACAGCGGCTCTTCGGTCTGTTGTGAGCTTGTGAGTGGGTGAAGCCGTCTGCAATGTCCGGACGATGACAGATGATTGTAAAGTTGTAACAACTTAATACTTCCGGAACCAAACCTTCAGAAGGTGAAACCTGACGGAAATATGTCGTTTTTGTTATGTGTGGTTACATGATATTTATGACTGTATTAACACTTTCTAATAGAACTGAAAGTCTTCAGTCAAATGACAGTAGTTTTATTTTGAAAGTTAAAACCAGAAGTGATTTGGCATGTGCCCAGACATGTTCAGCTATAAATGAGATGAATGTGAATATTTTAAATGTTATCAGTTGATTATATCAGTTAATTATCACTCTATAGACTGAGTACTATGGAAGCACGAATAAGTGAAGCGGTGGGGGACTTGAATCACATGACTTGAGACTTGCTGGACCAACACTGATAAAAGACTTGACATGACCTTGAATTGGTTTCATGATTTGAGACTTGACTTAGACTTGAGACACATGACTTGAAAAGATTTGAGTTTTTTATTAATGACATATTCACATTTTTTCTAGATATTGAGAAGTTACATTTTGTTTTTGAAACATGAAACACATGATTTCTAGTGCATCACCCACAAACCTGGCAACCTACCAGGATGCAGCAGACCGGCTGAGGCCAACACACAAACCAGCTCTCATGGGGAGGGGCTAATATTTGTATAGCATGAGGGCAGAGAGCAGAGCACAGTGCAGGTTCCTCATAGAGATGTAGAGTAATAGTAATAACTAGAATGACACTCAGTAGAGTTTACACTTCCACCAAGGCCAAACAACCCTACACATTAAAGAAAATGATGCTGGACCCGTCCCTTTAACGAGATCTGCTCTTAAATGTAATGAGTACTTCCTGGGGGGGGTGGGGGGGTGGCTCAGCCCAACCACACAGTGCTGCAATCACAGCCGGGTTTGCCTACCCTCCCCTTTCCCCTCCTCTTTCCTCCAAGCAGAGGTTTTGAAGTTGGGCGTACAGATTTTTAGTTAAACTTTTCATGAACTCTGTCTTTAACTGATTTGCAATTTTAACAGTTCATCATTTCCTCACACTCATCAGCATTTCTCAATGAGTTTGTACAGGCTTCCTTTGTATCCACACATGTTTCACAACTAGACGTTTTCTCATTGTGTTGATGCATTTCTCATCTGACTCATAAAAACAGTTTGTTCCTTCATCAGATATAATCACAGTCCTGTCATGCAGCATCAGTGTCGCTTTAAACTTTCTTCAAATATATATGATAGAGCAAGCTCAGTCTCACACACACACACACACACGTATATATATATATACTATATGCGGTGTGAATCTACTGTACTATAATTGATGCTTTGTTCTAAGTTTGATTGCATAATCTTGTTTGTCTTTTTTCTGATTGATAGTTCCATGCTTATCGTGGAATGCCTTCCTTTATGGTTTCCTCAGTTACAGCAGTTATATTCTGTGAATTTACTGATAGTTCTTTACAACTGCTTTTACACATTTTCTGAACTAATTTTTTTAAAACTCTTCACACAAATCCATAAATTGCAAGTCCCACAAATGTGCTGCAAAATGAAACACTGCACTGACAATATCATACAGTAAAACATCTAAAAATCAAGTATTTGCATTGAATTCCAAACACTTGTTTCATTGTAGTATTGTTTTGCATACACCATGTTCTAAATCTAAAGCTCTTCTGTCTAAAGGCTTGGATATACATTTCCATACAGTGTTGTAAAGTGACAGGACAGTGATCTGTTGAGAGGTTGGAATATAGACAGTAAAATAAACACCAATGCAAGGTTTAAACAGAATGTAGTTATTTTTCCAACATGTTAGTGTTGTAACTGTAATACTACAGTGTGTCTGAACATTTTTACTCTGTAATTTTGCACTTCTCGTTTTCTAAAGTCAGTCAGGTTTTTATCAAAACATCAAAACAGGCATCAAGGTCTGAAGCTCTGTGAAAAGGTTTATTTCATTAGTGACAATGTTGAAGTGATTGACTGACTTTGCATGTTTGGACATGTGAACTAGGTTTAGAGGCTTTTGCACAGGTGATTTAGTGTTCTGAGAGATGCAATAACTGTTTTGAGAACAGTATTAAGAGTGGTAAGAATAATGTTTCTGATGAGTGAATTGCATCAAAGTGATTCAGAAAAACTGTAAAATGAGGAAACAGGAGCTGATCATCAGAGTTTCATATAACTGGACTTGTCTCATTTGATTCCTGCCACGGTAACTTGAGACTTGAAGTTTAAGACTTGTAACTTACTCCCACCTCTGGTTTAAATGAATTTGAATGATTTAGTTTAGTTACTTAAAGAGTAAACAGCTGTAATCTCCACACGTTAAGATTATAAATGAGGTTAAATCAGGGCTTTGGCAGAGGGAGCGAGTGGAGCTGCAACTGACAATTTGAAAGAAAATAATGTAATAAAGTAACTACGCTCTCATCTCTACAATCTTCCTCATTATTGTACATCAGACATAGCTGAGCACTGACCGCTGCTGGTCTGACGGATGTGAGTAGTGGTTATTTAGGCTGTTAAACCCATGACCAACGTATGTGTGTCTGTTCCAGATTATAGTCAACATGACCACCAAGCACCGACTGATAACTGATTCATTCAAGGTGGTGAAGAAAGCAAAGAGGGGGGGGCGGCGAGAGAAGAGACCTACTTCTCCTCCGCCACAGAAAGGTGAAGAGCATGTGTTTTTATGTTTTTTTTTATGTGTTTTTGTGTGTATTTAATCCAGATCTCAGTCAGCATCTGCAGATTGTGAAAAAAGCTAAAATATATTTTTCATACTCTGGTCTTGACTTCAGTTCCACGTAGCATTGAAAAGTTTTTTTGTTGTTTTTGTTTCACTGATAACTTTGTAAATTTGCCCAATAAAATTAAAGACGTCCCAATGTATGATATTATTGAATTTTAAACAAGAAAAAAAAAAAGAATAGATTTTTGATGTAACTTTGTCGTGTAGTTATGACTGTGAATCTTTTTGCTGATCTAGAGGCTGAGACTGAGACGGTCAGAGAGGAGGAGCTGCAGAAGCTCAGACAGTTTGATCTGGACTGGAGATTTGGGCCCTGCACAGGTAACACACACACACACACACACACACACACACACACAAACACACAAAATTATGTACTGACATAAAGTGATGTGAACTGAAATATAATAAATATGAATGTATTATAAATCTTCCCAGCAACTCAGTCATAAGTAATTTAAAAGATGCCATTGTCCATATGATCATTTAAGTTTTATATGAAAATAGGAATAAAATGAGGAGCAGTTTTGCCCAGTGCAGATGGACTAAGCTGTGCATGATGAATAGAACAAAGGCTGACAGTGTCCACAGTTCAAGAGTAGATCCTGAAAATACCATAAAGGGGACATACTGTATTATGAAAAACTCAACTTCAGTGTTGACTTTGTGCACATAAATCTGCTCACAAGTGTGTGTAGACTCATTAATTGGGCATTTTGAGATAATCAGCCAACGCCTGCACTCACACTGCAGACACATCTGCAGTTTCACCGTTCTACAATAAAAATACGTTGAACTTTTACCTCAGTGTTTGGTCGTTTCCCCTCCTGCGACGTGGTTTAGAAACTGCTACTCGTCCTCTGAGACCATGACAGGACAGCCTTCTTGTGTTCTTTAACAAATACTGTATCTGAGATAAAGTTGCCTTTCTATCTGTCAGGGAACTGAGCTTGATGTATTGATCTCCTGATGGTGTGGTCTGCTTTGGATACGACTGATCCAGTGTCTGCACAGTGTTCAGTCGATGCTCTGCCCCCTGTAGAAACCTTTAGTCTGGACATGACCTGACTCTGAGAAAATGCCCCTCTTTGCTTTTTTGCTTAGAACAAATTTTTTGACTACTGACACTTTCACTTAGTTCTGATGCCATTTCCCTCCATCACAATGCTACTTACTGAATGACAGATTTAAAAAACACATACGATAAATTCAGACTTGGTGTGCAAAGGCCTTTACTGCTTGTTTCCAGCCTCAACAGGTCAGCTGTCAGCTAACTGCTCAGTGTACAATATACTGGGCAGGTGGCTAACAGTTTAGCTAACAATATTGATCTTACATTCACTGGGTGGCCAGAAGAACAACTGAAAACAAATGAATGCTAATGTGGCTCTGAGTCTGAAACTGTTTGCCAATATGTTGACCATGTGATAATATGTCAGATGTTGTGCTTATAGCTGCGTATGCTGCCCTCAAGTGGCCAAAAGACATGTACACATGCAGCTTGAATGATGTCTAAGAGGACGGCTGATAGTTCTTGGGCATGTTTGCCATTGTTGACAGAAGCCTGAAGTGAAAAAGATCAACTGAACTCCTGTAAAATGTTGATGCCTCATTAATCTGTGGGTGAGACCACAGACATTATATCCATGCTTTTTTAAGGCCTAGAAATATTGGAAGTGTTGGGGCCACTCTTTTTAAGAAAGGTAGAGTTGGTCCAAAAATAGGTTTTAAAGCTCCATATAGTCTAAAGGTAGATGTCCATGTGTTGGTTGATTATATAGCAGGGCTAGGCTCTATATTATTACTGTGAAAGTATCAAAGTGCTCAGTCCACAGAGAAATGCACACAGCCTGTATTCAGAAACTGAGCCTTAAAACCAACTGTTGGGACTTCTGGAACAAAGCAGTCACAGCCCTCAGCCACGCCCCAAGCCCCACCCACCTGGACCCACCATACAGCTCGCCGACTTGTTGTTACTGGAGCTCCAGAGAGAAGCTTGAGCGAGGAGATGTAAAACTATACAGAGATTGATTTTTGTTCTTAAAACCACAAATATATCTTCTCATGGATCAACACTTCAAATAAAACACAGAAGAAGAAAATATTGAGCTTCAATCACAGAAAACAGTGAGTCATGTATCATATTTTCCCTCTCTCTCAGGTATTACCAGGCTGCAGAGATGGGAGAGAGCAAAGCTTCATGGTCTGAACCCACCTGAGGAGATCAGATACCTGCTGCTGCAAACACACACTGACCCCGACTATAAGCTCAGGTAACACACACACACACACACACACACACACACACACACACACACACACACACACACACACACACAGAGTTTTCTTGTCTGTGGCCTAAATTCAGTGTCTACTTGTCTGATGGAACAGATCCACTCTTGTTTGAATCCGTCCAGCTGTCTACACAGGCCTCATACTGTCCGCCTTCAAACACCACCTGAAGCACATTTTCTATTTTGCTCTGTTTAATGTGCAGAATCACATTAACTGTGTTTTGGCCTCTGAGCACATTCAAAGCACAAGTGACCTACACTCAACACCGCGCCTGAACGCATCCTGTGTAGGCCAGTGTGAGCTTCAATACACAGTGTTCTAAAAAATTATTGTTATTATTGATCAATAATAATTCAGTCAACTGCACACTACAACAGTGGTAACCTAGTTAAAGAATGTTGTAGGTTTTGACTGTAGCTGGACTTTAATTAAGGTCGTCCTTCGCTATCCAGTCAAGCTGCAATATGGAGTTGGGTTGTGTGCTGCATCCAACCGGACAGCGCTGTGTTGCCCAGATGGGTTGCGCGCTATGTGCAGCTAGATAGGCGGCATCTTGTTTGGGTAAGCTTTTGAATCATATGGCATCCCATAAATGACAGGCACACAGGGAGGGCCAGATGATGACACAATGGGGCCAAGAAAAACTAGTGCTGACCGATAAATCATATTTCTCTCCATCTTGTGCAATAAACACATTGCACAAGATGTAGAGAAACGTGATGAATTAGAAAAAAAAAATGTTTTATTTACATGCACCATGCATTCACACAGGTTCATCAGGTGCAGCACCTGAATCAAATGAATTGGAAAAAAAATATGTTTAATGTTCTCTTCTTCATTCAGCTTCACTCACTGTTTTCATATCAGGAATATTATTTAATATATTGACATTTTACATTTGTTTCCATAGTGATATTATTGAGTTTATTTATTGTTTATCATTGCTGCTCCAGAAACTTTAAAAAAAAAAATTTTAATCCTGTTGAAGATTTTATTCTTTTAAAAGGGTTAGCTACTGAATAAGCTGTACTGTATTGATGAGATAAATATAACATTACATAGCTACACCTGATAAGAGAACCCACACTGTCTCACTGCTGCAGCCTCAACATGAGCCTCCATTATATTATATTGTATGTTCTGTATTTCTTATGGTCATTCATATTTCTCCTTAAAATTTCTGTGTCCACTAAGAGAAGATGTATGGTATTTTATAAAAGATGATGGTAATTTTATTTTGTACATGTAGTATCTGTGGTTATCACATGACGGATCAATAGGCTCTATATAAGTAAATTGGAAAAATCTGCAATGTCAACCCTGGCGCATACATAATTAAATATAAACGATAATGATGTCCTCCAAGCTCATAAGCTAAGATACAAGTTAGACACCTTGAAATCAAGCTCCCACACATGCTGCATATTACTATCAGGAACATCATTATTCAGTAGTGAATATATCAAGCTGCTTAAAAAAAAGATGTCAGCATTTGATTTGGGCAAATGTTATATAGTGTTGACAAATGTAGATATTCTACCCAAACTTCTGCAGACAGAATAATAGTAATACAGCTGATGTGCTCTTTGTCTTTCAGCCTGTGGAGCGAATATCCTTTGTGAGGAAGTGATCGTAAAGAGGGGAAAAGAACACCCCCCCATCAAAAGTCAACTCAAGTTTCTTTATATGTCAACATTTTCAATGATGTAACAATTCAAATCTTTTGACCATTTGAAACTCCAGAAAAAAAAAATTATATATATATATATGGGAGGGAGAAACCAAAGCAACAGAGAGGGGATACCTCTCTCAGCATGGAGACTGAAGAATGACACAACAGCCACGTTTTTTTTTTCTCACAGTTGAACTTTGTTGTCTTCTACACACTAAGTTTTATTAATGATTTTAATAAAAAAACAAAACAAACACTGTCCTGTTCTGTCTTATAAAGGTTATTGCTGACAAAATGTGAATGTACACATTCACAAATTGTTGCTCCCCTCTTGTATATAGCGTGTGGTCTTCCCACACTGACATACATTTGCCTCAGTCTTTTTATAACTGACCTAACCTACACTCTCCCTCTTCATTTTACACTCAACCCCCTAAGATAGTGAGTGAGCGGGTGTGTTTGCAGTACAGCCAACAGAACAGAAACATCCATAGTACCTGAAAGGTCAGGGTTAGCCAGTTTTAGCGGTTAAGGTTATAGCAATGAAGATATCAATATACTTATTGGAATATATTTCCAAAAACAATAACACACATACATGCTCAGGACTTCTTTTAACATGTAGGTCTCTCCTCATACACTGTATTTCCTTTGAGAATGCTCTTGAAAAAGAGAATGTACTATTCACTGTTAATTTACTATGCTTGTACACTTCACTGAGTTATACTAGTTGTGTTTTGCCAGTTGGAAGGCGAGTATTACACTATAAACGTATTATCCCGCCTCCAGCGTCATTCGATTGGCTTGCAATATCGTCACTCACTCACAGCCCGACGCTGATTGGTTCGCGTGTTGATCACTTGAGCGACGGCAGACGCATCTCCCGCTGATTGATCAGGAACTAGGTGACTTGGATCAGAGGCGGGGTGGTTTTGCAGCAAAGCCTCCAGTGGGCAGGACTTCGGAGGATTCTACACGCTCATTCGCAATTCTCAATCTACTGCGTCAGTCTGGCTCCTCGACCTCTCATTGGACTATTCTTGGCTGCCGTGGGCTTTTGCTTTGCCAAATGCCGTTAGGCACGTTCATTACGGGGCAGCAGCATCATAAAGGGGAAGAATTATCCAGGGTAACACCGGAAGTTAGACGACTTTTATATAAAATAAAAGCCTGTTGGATGAAATACAGCTGGCCGTTTCTAGTCGGTTGTGCAGTACTTAAGGACATTTCTAAAATATCATGAAACAGTCGATGTCATGAAATATACATTTACACGTTATCATGCCATGCAGCATTTCTTAAGGAGAAGTCTTTATTTTGCAAGTTAAAAACGGATGTTGTAGTTTTTGATCGTCTAACTTGATGTGATTGGATGCTGCATCTTGTCGCCTGAGTATTACTGACCCGTAGACACTACTGGAGCTGGGGATAAAGAGTAATAACAACCACATTATACGGGTAAATTAGTCTTGAACCATATTTAGGAAACATTTGCATTAAATAATCCTTTTTTTTGATAGACAATATTTTTACCTTTCGGAAATCATACTGCTTCAATGGAAATATCGTCCGGACGATTTTTCACTCAGTATAACTAGCTTGTAAAAGATAATTTTCATAATAATTATTTTTTTATCCTTTTCCATCTAAAACGCATGGTGCTGTAATATATCCTGACTTGCTTTAACTGTAGAGACAGTGGAGAGACGACACACGGGCAGACCCACCGCTCTGGTAAGCAACCTGTTCATCTCTGGAGGATTAACGTTAGAACATACCGCTAGCTGTGCGGCTAGCTAGTCATCCGTGTAGCTCACTACCTAACTGCTAGCTTAGTTTGGTTACAAGGCTTTTGCCAATTATGATTCGTCACTTGTCGTTTGACATATGGTTTATCGTATTAGCGTACATGTCAAATCGCTGTCAAACCTCATCAGTCATATGAGCAACATGTCTCTGACTGTTTGCCGTTATGTCATCCATTTAACCCGGGATTTAGGCGAGGCCACTCGTATTTACAATTAAAGTATGTAACGCTGCATATTTCGTGTGGGCAAATGTGTCAGCACGGGGCGGTTGGTCCGTTTTGTATTTCGCAGATGCGGAAAGTGGCGTCAGTGATTTTTAGGGCGGTCATGTAGAGTTAATTACCTCAAACACAGGCCTTCTTCATATAACCTGACTGAAGGCCTTTACGAATCAGGCCTTTACGAAGATATTGTTGTGACAAATCCCGCATAGACAATCTATTAAATAAAGTTAAAAGTTTTTGAATTATCATAGCCTACACGGACATAGCGGCACAAGGATCATGGGAACAACGGGCTATTGCTTAAATGAAAACTAGTTGGTGCATTGGATGTGCACCGGTTTGACCAGCGGGACTTGGTTGTTTGTAAAAAGCCTTAAGTCTTGTTCAAGGAGTCACTTCCCATCCGGCAAAAGGCAAGAGAGCGTTACATTGACAGATTTTTTAATGGAGTTTTGAGGCCAAATAGAGAAGCACAGCCCAAAAACACTGAATAGAAATAAATATTGTCCAGTGTGATGCAACACAGGGAGATATTTTTGTCAGCACCAGCTGACACCTTATGGATAGTAAGTCATGTCTCCTGGGCCTGTTGGTCTCTGCGGGCTCCAGTTTGTGTGGTTGCTTGGCTGTACCTACAGTGCATTTAATTCCCCAGCCGAATAATGCAGCTACAGTGTGTAGTTGTCACTGCAGATACCTAGACAGTACCACATTCAAGAAGCAGGTTACCTTTCAGATGTTGAAACTACTGAAATACTGTCTTTTATTAAAAATCAAAGTAGTTTCAGTCTGTGTGCTCCATCCCTGATATGATAAATTGGATAAACAAGAACACTGTAATTTCAGAAACATCGTGAAAATAGTCAAATTTCAAGCAAAAAACATTTGCTCTTTTGCCCCTTCAATCCAGAATATCTTTATTAACGCCATATTACCTTCCTGTACTTTTAGCCTGATGGCTTATTGAATTGACCTGTTTTTTCTCTCCCGAGGTTAGTGGAATAAAAGTCTGAACTTTAGTACTGAAAAAGCTTATTGTTGATGTTGATATTGCCTTGTCTTCTTTCCCCTCCTCCCTTTTCAGTGATGGATAATGCTCATACTAAGACGGTAGAGGAGGTTTTGGGCTTCTTCTGTGTGAATGAATCCACAGGATTGAGCTGTGAGCAGCTGAAGAAAAATAGGGAGAGATGGGGACCCAATGGTAGGTTTATTTGTTTTTTATTTAACACTTACAACAGTAAAAGTCTGTGCAATGAATGTCATCCATGTTGAAAATGTGCAGAATGAAAATAACTTCTCTACACTGTAATTGTAATTTATAAAATAAGTAAAACAAAGTATCAGTGGTGATGATGATAATTTTTTTTCTTTTTCTCCTTCATCTTTACTCACAGAATTACCAGCTGAAGAAGGTGAGCTATCTATCTATCTATCTATCTATCTATCTATCTATCTATCTATCTATCTATCTATCTATCTATCTATCTATCACATTGTGTTTCTTGGTGTCCCTGTGCAGGGAAATCCCTTTGGGAGCTAGTCCTGGAGCAGTTTGAGGATCTGTTGGTGCGAATCCTGCTGCTGGCTGCCTGCATCTCCTTTGTAAGGAAACACAACTGTATGCAAACCACAAGCAAAACACACGCACAACACTTATACACAAGTAGTCACAATCATTGCTAACAGCTGATATATTTGTGTGAACTGACATATGAGTTTAACCCATCTGTATAGACACCAGAGATGGGGACTCGAGTTTAAGTTGCACACACAGAGACTTGAGACTCAACTCAGACTCCAGGTTTGGGTTATGTGTTTATTGTTTGTTTATTTGTTGGCAGGGTTAGGCAGAGCTCTGTCCACTGAGCACATTTTCTAGTTTTTATGTTTTTGACACGTTAACATTAAGACTCTTTATAGACAAAGGCGTGATGGTGATGATGATGATTATGATGATGCAGTACATGTTTTGAATTCCTTAGATATTGTAATGTAATGCACTAAGTAGACTGTATGGAGCAGCAGATGATAGAATGCTCATTACAAACATAAGATACAGGCTACCTCCAGACGAACATTTTAGCTCCGTATCAGAAACAATCTCCGCCCATACAAACACCTGAAAACGCATACATGTTTGACTATTCACTTACAGTGAGTCTTCTTTGCAGTTGATTGGTTGCAGAAAATAGGGCTGCCACTAATGACTGTTTTTCCAAATTTATTAACTATTTTACCGATTAGTCAATTAATCTAAACAAATAATTTTCCTCCAGAAAATCTAAATGATACTCTGGCATGATCAATAAGGCCAGATTCATACCTAAACATTTTCTTAAACACTTATTCAATGTAAATTCTCAGGCAGAAGCAGATGACTTCATGTCTTTATGACAGTATTTATCAGCTACAAGGACAAAAGATATTAAAAAGCTTTGTTTACTAATGAACAGACAACACTTACATGAAATAATCCTTCACATGTTTGTGACTGATCTCACCATGTGCCATAAAAAATAATATTCACATTTAACACTGGTTAAACAAGACTTAGAGTGAAGGGATTTGAACTGTGCTCGTCCTCCCAAAGTCAGACACTAACCAGCTGATTCTATCTTTATCTTATCCATACACTTATTGATCCAGCTCAGATTATTACTTCTAATAGTATACTATCTGATTTGTCTCAGCCAGTTTATCACTTTACAACAATCTGCCACATTTTAAGATTCATGATAAACTAAGATAATCTCACATACAGACAGCTTTCCTTTAGCTTTTCATGACAGTTCGCTGTTAGCTTAACCAGCGCCATGTTGTTGTGTAAAAGACACAAAACAGGTGAAAATATCTCTTTTCTGTTTGTTGTTTGTTTAACAGGGGATTGGATAAAGTTCGTATTGGCCTTTTACTTTTTATTGCTCTTACAGTAAAGTTCAGTGATAGTTGTGTCAGCTCCAGTAATCTTCAGTTCTCTTTACTTCACCTGGTTCTATGTCCATGTAGCCTTTCTGCTCTGGTGTTCACTATGTGTGTGTGTGTGTGTGTGTGTGTGTGTGTGTGTGTACCCGTAGCCACACCTCTCCCAGAGAGCAGAGGACAGAGGAGCAGTGCAACCATAAATGATAAATAGAAAATAAATATATAGATATATGGCGGTTAACAGTGACTGGCAGCTTCAAATAAATCAATGTATGGGAAATGATTTGTGGACTTAATATATTGAAGAGAAAATGAGAGAGGAGAAAAGAGAGAAAATAATTCAAACAAGGAACAGCAAAGACAGCTTTAGCATGAAAATAGAGATTATAACAGCAGCTGCTAGCAAATACAACAAAGTCAGTAACACTGTAATTCATTATGATGTTGTATTCACCACTGGTAGTGCAGGCTGATGAGACCCAATCAGGTCTACATCATCGTTTCCAAAGGTCTTAATTTCTGTCCATCCAGACTACAACACAACCCAGTTTTCAACAAAGTTCAAACAAAGTTTTCAAAATAAAATGGGTCCAGCAACACAGTAACACACTGCACACAAATCATCAACCTTCTCTCTGTCTTCTCTTTTGTCTCTCATAGACCCTGGCTTGGTTTGAAGAAGGGGAGGGAACGATCACTGCATTTGTTGAACCCTTTGTTATCCTCCTCATCCTCATCGCCAACGCTATTGTTGGAGTATGGCAGGTAAAGATTTTTCCATTTCCATTCAGTTTCACTTTGATTCGATTCAATCCTTCATGATCCAGTTACATTAGATAAACACTGATGTTACTTCTCACACTTAAATTTCTTCTACATTCAACAAATGAGCAATACTGTTGTTTTTTTGAATAGTTCTTGTGTAAAGTCACATTAGAGGCTAAATTGCAAAAACATTCCCCGGCTGTAAAAAGGCTTATTTTCCTTGGAAAATAATCATCAATATCAACATCAATCAACATCAATTTTCTTTGGATCTGCATTAAAATCCTGCAACATTCACAGGTGAATCATCATTGTGCATATTTTGAAAAGAAATGCTGTTCCATACAGCTGCACAGCTACCACTGTCAGTGACACATTCTTCAACTTAAGACTGGTATCGACGCAGAGCCTACTCCGTTGTGAGCATTTATACTTGTGCACTGGTGTCGCTCTGCAATGCCACGTCAAAATGGCAATTGAGACTGAGCAGGTGGTGTTGGAGTTGGAGCTGAAAAATGTTGAACAACAGTCTCTTTTACTGAGATTACTGCAACGCAGAAAAGAGAAAAGGCGTTGGAGGAGAAGGTGTGTACAACCCCTGAACTGACTGAGGCAGAGGGAGGGTGAATCACAGGTGCTGCACCGACCGTACCTATGGTGTCAATTCAATGCAGAAGTGTAAATTTAAATACAGAAATCCACTTCACTCTGAGCACAGACAGGACAGGAAGTGAAAGATGCTCAATAATCCATCTGCACTGTTTGTGTTTACAAGACATCAGTCTGAAATCTGTGGACAGCTGTTAGCTAGTGTTAGCTCCCTGACATAGGCAGACTGAATAAACTAGAGTCCATACACTGTTCAGTCTTCATATGTTGTAGATAGAGGTGATGGGCTCTATATCGCTCTATACCAGTGTCTGGGTCTGTGCCTGTTTGGTCATGTCCTGGCACCAAACCAGTGTGACTGCATTGATGTGGGAGAGAGACATGGCTTTCTTGCCTTACTTGGCAGACACACACACACACACACACACACACACACACACAGACACACAAACACACAAACACACAAGCAAACACACCTCAAGAATCGAAACACACCTCTCAGTTGTGGCCTTTTTATGCCAGAGGGATATTGTTTTCGGGGTGCCCTTCTGTCCTATTCTTGTGGACGTGATATCTCAGTAACACCTTCACAGAACTTCGTGTAATTGGGCATAAAACATTTACTAGGACTCAAGGATAAAGTGATCTCACAAAACATGGTTTTGGCCAAGACAGGAGTGTCATCCAAACATCAGACCTCCTGTTCTGTGTGAGGAGACAGCTGCTCACAATAACTCCTCTGTGTCGTTGATTATGATTTGACAGAGGGGCAGAGCCTGACTCTGCACATGTAGCATAGACTGTATATAAAAATGGACGTCGACTCCAGGTGTAGAAAATGAAGCCAATGCGGAAGTGCCTTAAACTTGCATCCTATCGAATGACCATCAGGGGCAACACCACTGGTTGCAAAAAGAAGTACGATTGTATTGAAGTCTATGGGTAAATGACCTTACTTGTCACTTGATTTATTACCTCAGTAAACGTTTTTATTATGTGTTTATGGTCTGAATCACTAGTTTGAAGTTTCCTTCAATACAACATGATCATTTTTCAAATTAATGTCCTATCTAAAAGAAAATAGACGTTAAAGCAGAGTGGTTTTAGGGCGTGGCTACTGCCTGATTGACACACAGGGGGACCTGCCTGTTAATCCGGATATGAGGTCAGAGCGATGTGTCAGACATTTGACTTGTCATTGTGTTTTCAGTTCAAAGTTAGCCCTAACATGTTTGCCTGAAAATGTCTTGTTCGGGGTTCAGTTGTTCTAAAAGACACTTGGAGGAGTCGGCGGTTCAATTTTTTCCGGTAATTACATTTTGTTTTAAGCCAATTTCTTTGCTAGCCAAAATTAGCATCCCTGTTAATATCACAGTTCAGGTGAAGATGCACCTTGCTAACCAAACTAGCCAGCTAGTGCTATCATTAGCTGATAACTTAGCAATTGCTATGCTAACGCTACCTGGCCCCGCTGGGCTGACCTGGGTTAGCCCATGGAGGTGTTCAGTCAAAGCCCAATAAAAAGGTACATTTAATCAACATTAATCTAACGACGTTTGGTTTGTGTTTCTCACGCATATGACCCAGTTTAAGTGATCTATATCGGTGTAATGCACAGCGTTAATGTTAGTTATGTAGCGTGAATACCACAATTTGAAGTTTGCTCTCATTAAAGAATGGGGCACCAGTCCTCAGGGAGGACAATTTGATTAAATAAAGATTATTCTGATCAATCTCACATCCAAAGTTGTGATTTCTTGATTACAGGGATCTCCGATCTTCACTTCAAAGAAACACAGGGCAACGACTGGGTCACGTTGATAATATTTATTATCTAACTAAACACAGGAGTAATACAATGAACAATGATAATTAACATGAATCTATAACTAACAATACCTATATCTATCAGCTTAACTAGCAGTGATTAGGGCGATGGTGAAAGAGAATGAATTTGATTATGTGTATAGCATTTATTCGTAACGGTGGAATTTATTAGGTCGGAACTAGGATTATTCCGACATCAACCCAGTTCGGAGCAAAGGATGGAGTTGCCTACTTTGAGTTGCGGCGCACTGTTGAGATCCTGGCTGGAGCCCTGGAGTTAGGTTGCTAGGCGACGGGGACGCCACGCTCCAAGTGGGTTTCTCTCAGAGATGACAGTCGTTGCCAAGGGGAACAGGCTCTGCCGATGTCTCGGTGGGTCAGCGTCGGCGCAGTCTGCCAGCAGACTTTCTTCCGTAGGCACTCTCGAGATCTGGTCAGCCGGTCCTGGTGAGGCGTGTAGCCGGAGGGCCGGAGGTTGACGACGGAATAAGCTCTAGTATTTAATTTACTTTGCCAGCTAAGTTGGAAGGAATTGGTGTTGGCCAAACGACACAAAACCTTCAAGTTATCGAAAAAGAAAACGATGAGATTGCTTATACACACCTGTGTGTGATTCAATTTATAAGGCTTGGCTTGCTGAAATAGTAAAACAAAAATTGCGCACAAAAGTATAAGAAAAATTTGAAGACAAAGAACACGAGGTTGGTACCTAGTAAAGTTTAGGCTAGAAACACGTGAGCTAGTGCGCAAGACGAAACGTAAGAGACTAAGAGTACAAGTAAGAGTAAGAGTTGCAAGAATAAGAGAGAGAGAATAAGAGAGAGCGTCCTCGAGGGTTCTGCTGTTTTATCCTCGGGGTGTGTGTAGCCGGGGGGGGGGCCTCGACAGTTGTCCCCACCCCTTAAGTTTTCCTTCCCTTTCTTTGTTTCAAATGAAGAAAGGGGGAAATAAAACCTTAAGTTATTTTGTTAAATTTGATTCTACGCGCAAGTGTTGCGTATTCTACTCCCACCATGGCCCATTCATTTTGACGATGGCCTATACCAACTACCTAGCTACGGTTTGGAATATATTAAATAAACTTATATATCATCATCACACTAATGGTACACATAGAATATATTGACTAACAATAAGATAACGATTTGTAACCACACAAATATATAGCTAAGGCTACAACATGAAATAGAAATATCAAAATGAGGTATTAGGCTGTACATCAGTTAATTCCCTAGAGGAAAAAGGGGTCCAGAGTGGACTTTAGATGGCAGTAGGAACGTGGAGGATATTTACATTAGAACTGATAAAACATATCTCAGCCTCCCTTTGGGCTACAGAAATGAACTTTGGATCATACTTTATGGAAATCTTTCCAGAGTAATACTGCATGGATTACCTGGTGATAGGACATTCAGTTCAATGACATTTCAATCAGGCTTTATAAATGTGGAATAGTTCATCAATTCGGCTTGGAATGTAGGATGGTTTATGGCGGGGGTCTGTGGTTCCTCATGAGACCCCCCTTTGGGTAAGAAAGGGTGTTAAAGATGAGAGTGTTGTTTTCTCTTGTGAGAGAGAAATGAGTCAAGATTGTGAATCCTGATGGTTTAGCACCTTGATGGGCTAAATGTTCCTTTTCATGTTATTTGATAAGAGGTGGCACCCACCTATCAATCCTAGATGAGTGTCAGGGATGCAACATGAATTCAGTGTCAGTCTGTGGGGGAGAGTTGTGGTTGTCTCCCATTTGTTGCAGGAGTGTTGGTTCAGGATGAGTTCCATGACCTAGCCATAAATTCCGATGGTATCTTTAAAAGCTAGTCTATTGGTGAGGGGAACTAATTTCGTCCCTGTGTTCTATCCAAGTGATAGTTTGATGATGGGAAAGTGGACATGGGAGGCTCTCCATATACTCCAGAGCACCCCAGTGTCTTTACCATAAATCTTGAACGCCTGGTCACTGGCGTCCACCAGTGTCCGCTACAGTTAATACATTGTCCATCAAGACGTTGTGATAGTTCAACTTAAGATAACGTGACATATGCAAAATGTGTAGAAAAATATGTCATATAGAGGATTGTTCTTTTAATACTCAAACCAGTCCTCAACTGAAGCAGACATTCATGCACCTATCCTGACAGCTGATAGATATTTGTGATTAACTGTGATCCACCACATCTTAACTCAAGTGTTTGTCTTTTATTGTCATTTGAAAGGTTTCCACACTGTGAAAACTAAGTGACCACTGCCAACAGAAGGTGGACCTCATGTATGAAGTTGCCCATTTGTTTCCATTCATCTGGTTGTAGAGAAAGGAGACTGCATGGACATCCTTAGTTCTCAAATGGGCTGTGATGATGATGCTAGGAAACCACTCCCAGTTCAGCTTCCTCTAATGATATGACAGACTTAGTGTTGATTAGTTTGTTTATTATTCTCTGTCTTCAGTATTCACAGGTTCAGTTTCTTACCTGCAACTTCATTTCTGCTGTTGGTGACAGGCGATGGTAGCAATACTTAATAGCAATACAGAATTTATAAATATTAAACTGTGATTAAGTGAT